AGATAGATAGATAGATAGATAGATAGATAGATAGATAGATAGATAGAGATAGATGATAAATTAGATAGAGATAGATTAAAAATTAGATAGAGAGATAGATATAGATAGGGAGGGAGGGAGGTAGATAGATATAAATTTTATTTTACCATTGAAAGGAGGGGGTGGGAGAGAGGAGAGGGGGAGGGGGAAAGGAGGAAGATTAGGAGAATGAAGAGGAGGAGGAGCTAATATTCACAATTCTACTTTTTTTGCAATGGTGTTTTTGTCTCTGCAATTTTCAGTTTTCATGTAATAATATTAAATATTGAGAATACTGATGGTCATCCATTGCTTTAATTACCTTTGAGTGTTATGTGAATATAGGAATTTTCAATAACAGATACTGATTCCTAATATTTCCAAGATTATATGCTGAGCCAAATTGCTTGAGATGACAACCTACTCACTATAAATCCAGCTATGCAATATCTGACCTAATAAATATATGAATGAGAGAAGATCATTCAATGACAGTTCATAGAGTAGACTCAGAATTAAGGAAAAAGGATGCTAGAAAACACAACAGCAAAGTAATTTCTTCTTACAAAAAATGTGAACATACCATTGGAGTTTATGGGCACTGACTTATTTCAAATTCTTTATCATTTTTTTTCTTTTTTGCCAAATAAAAGCATTAAAATCAAATTTTAACTTTTGATTAAAATTTAAATAATGAATGTCTATTTATGTTTCTTGGATCCTACCTTTTTTTTCAAATAAAAATACTGATCTTTTCTTAGTTTACTTACTCTTTAGGAAGCAGGAAAGCTAAACAGGTTTAAATGAATTATATTGTTTGCACCTCAAAGTCTGCACTTCTCATTCTCTTGTTATATATCCATCACCACAGTTATTTTTTCTATGTTTTGAGAAAATGGGAAAACCTACATTGCCTATATTGTAATAAATTTGAAAGTGTTGAAAAAATGCATTTCAAAGAATAGCAATAGCACTTAGACTTATATACCACTTTATAGTGTTTTACAGCTATCTCTAAGTGGTTTACAGAGCCAGCATAGTGCCCCCAATAATTTGGGTTCTCATTTTACCAACTTTGAAAGGATGGAAGGCTGAATTAACCTTGACTCATTCAGAATTGAACTTCTGGAGTGAGCAGTGAGTTATCCTGCAGTACTGCATTTTAACCACTGTGCCACCATGGCTCTTCCCTTCATTTATGCCAATAAATGGCAATAATAATTAATATTCCCTTCATTTATGCCAATCCTAAATGATAAAATTGAGGAAAAAATGTATTTTCATAAAAATATAATCCAATTGGTAATATGTGGCATGAACTCAAAATGGAATAACAGTTGGCAACCAACCAGACTATGATTAGGAGTTGTGTGATGCAGTAGTTAGAATGAAATATAGCAGGCTAACTCTGCTCACTGCCAGGAGTTTGATCCTGACTAGATCAAGTTGCCTCAACCTTCCATCATTCTGAAGTCAATAAAAAACCCAGATTGTTGGGGACAATATGCCAACTCTGTAAACAGCTTAGAGAGGGCTGTAAAAATACTGTGAAGCACTATATAAGTTTAAGTGCTATTACTATAAAGTGAAACACGATTTGCTGATACAAAAGTAGAATTTATGCCTGTCAAATGTTGTGATCTTTGTCACTTTGACTGGAATGATATGATTGAAAGTTGGCCTTCTTAGCAATGAACTACACTCATTGTCTGTACTAAATGTAATGCTCAAGTATCTCTTGCGTAAACCTGGTATAACAGACCTGTCAGCCATCAAAGCTTGGTCCATTAGAAAAGAAAGACTGTTAGCCTATTGCTATGGAATACAGAAATGAAAAATGTCTTGACTTTTTTTTCCAGATATGGATGACTGTTTTGAATGTTCACAAGATCATTATCCAAATAAAAAAAAGAAAGGATGTATCCTGAAACCAGTAGTCTTTCTACATTTCAAAGAAACCTTAGGAGTTAGTTTAGTCTCTGCAGCTCTTTGTTTCTTCTTCTTGACATCTTGTGTACTTGGAACTTTTATTAAGCACATGGATACTCCCATTGTCAAAGCCAACAACTGGCCCCTCACCTACACCCTGCTTGTCTCTCTTCAACTTGGTTTTCTTTCTGCTTTGTTATTCCTCAGCCAACCTGGCAAACAGACCTGCCTTCTCCGACAACCAACTTTTGGCATCACCTTCTCAGTAGCCATTTCTAGTGTACTGTCCAAAACCATCACTGTAGTTGTGGCTTTCATGGCAACTAGACCAGGATCTCAGATGAGGAAATGGTTGGGGAGAAGATTGGCTTTTTGTATTGTCCTTTCCTGTTCTCTCTTCCAAGTGTGTCTTTGTATTCTTTGGTTGTTAACATCTCCCCCATTCCCTGAGTTGGACATGCACTCAGAGATTCAAGAAATGGTTTTACAGTGCAATGAGGGGTCAGCTTCCTTCTTCTACTGTGTCTTGGGCTATATGGGTATCTTGGCCATTGCCAGCTTTATTGTGGCTTTCCTTGCCCGTAAATTACCTGACAGCTTTAATGAAGCCAAGTTCATCACCTTCAGCATGTTGGCCTTTTGCAGTGTTTGGATTTCCTTCTTTCCAGCCTATCTGAGCACAAAAGGAAAAGCCATGGTAGCTGTGGAGGTCTTCTCCATCTTGTCCTCCAGTGCTGCATTACTGGGATGTATATTCCTGCCAAAATGCTACATCATTGTTTTTAGGCCTGACCTCAACCACAGGGAGCAACTCACAAAGAGAAATTAATGACACATGTGGTTTTTCTTGCTAGGAAAAATTGCTGACATAGTTGTTTCTGTCAAAAGAGAATTTATGGAGGATTACTATGTTTACTGAGATTTATTATGGGCATCCATTCCAAAAGAAATGTTCAGGCTGCTATATTTTCAACCATTAATTTAACCTAACCCTTTCTTATTTTGAATGTATAATATTTTTAATTTCAATCTCTTTTTTGTTCTAAGGAATTTGAAATAAACATGTATTTAACACAGTATCATAAGGTATCACTTTTGGATTGGTTGGATTTGTTAAATTCAGTATTTCTGGATGTTTGAAACCTGTACATATAATATTACTTTAACAATTATTTGTGCTGATTCTCTATCCATCTGACTCACTATCCATCCAACTATTTCTATTGTAACTTATCATCTGGTTAATTAATAATATGAAAAATTTAATGAAACAAAATGTATTCTTCCTTATCATTATTCAAAGCATATTCTGGCTAATTAGCATAATGAAGAGTGATTTTATTTGATAAATTAGAAGTATGCATTTTACATGCGGGCATGTAATGCGACACCCAGAAAAATATGGCATACTTAACTTAATCCTCCAAGGAAAGATTGAAGGCAAATGAGGTCCAGGCAGAAGAAGAACATCATAGCTTCAAAATCTAAGGGATTGGTTTGGACAAAACTCAACAGCATTTTTTTGTGTGGCTGTTGATAAAATTAGGATCACCAACATGATTGCCAACATCCGATGACAGATATGGCACAAGAAAATTTTACACAGAAACCAAAGGTGAAATTTAGCTCAGATCATAGAAAAAGATGTAGACCCCTTTTTTTTATACAAGGAAGGCCCACCAAGATGGGGGGAAACTTTGAGTGTTTTATTGGATATGTATACACAGACACACAGACACAGATACAAATGTATACATACATATACAGCAATGGTGAAATGCTACCTGTTCTTTCTGGTTCAACTGAACTGGTAGCAAAAATTGCTACCAGTTTGGCCAAACAAGTAGTAAAAAAAAGTTCTGATGATCAGCTGAGAGGAGAAAGATGCACTTTTCTGTTCTTTATCATCTCCGCTGATTGGCATGGCAGAGTGGCGGGTGGTGTTTGGAAAGCTGCATGCATGAGTGAAGTGTGCGATCATCGAACTAGTAGGGAAACTGGTAGAATCCCACCACTGATACACAGAGACAGATTGAATGACAGACTTCATTTTACATTTCTCTTGATGATAATTGGCAAAAAAAATATAATAATTTACCTGCAGGCATCAGCATGTCAAGAGGCACTTCAATTTCAATTCATTACAATAAGAGATCAGTGGGGAAGAGGCAAGGAAAAAATTTCTGATCATCCCAAAAGTGCTTTTTCAAAAGGCAATTGGACTTTCACTTCTCACCCAAGAAGCTTCTTCAGTGTCATATCCCTCCACCCTCTGTTGAGAGAGAGGGCTGTTCAGTTTTAATGTAGATGGTCTCTTTGACCTCATTTTCCAGCAGAGGAGGTAGGATATGACCTAGAGATACCACCTATCTCCTGTTTACAACACAGTTCTGTCAGTAAGTCCAAGAAGCTTCCACATCCATTTGCACTCTGATTTAGGTGATCCTGAGGACACAGATAAACCTCTGCCTTAATGACTTTTAGAGAGAGAGCTCATCAGCAGATAATCAGAAGGGATTTTTTTGTGGTCATATCAAAAACAACTGTGTTCTTTTCGCAGATGATGTAAAACTATTCAACACTGCTGACAATGCTGCTACACTTCAAAAAGACCTTGGCTATGTGTTAGAAAGGTCAAACAAGTGGCAACTTCAAATGTCAACAAACAAATGCACTGTCTTACATATTGGCAAGAAAAATCAAAAAATAAAATACAAGCTGGACAGACAAGATCTTGTAGACGACTCTCACTCTGTCAAGGACCTTGGAGTTCTCATTTCTGATGATCTAAGTACTAGAGCCTACTGTATCAATATTGCCAAAAACTTAATTATGTGAAGCTTTTTCTCCAGTAATATTGTACTACTAACTAGAGCATACAAAACATTTGCTAGACCAATTCTTGAATACAGCTCATCTGTCTGAATATTGGACATATGTATATCGGACATTAATACAATAAGAGAGTCCAGTGATATTTCACAAAAAGAATCCTCCACTCCTTTACTCGCAACACAATACTTTATGCCTCCAGACTTGAAATGTTATGATTAGATAACTTGGAACTACTCCACCTTTGGTCTGACCTAAACATAATACATAAAATTATCCATTACCATGTCCTACCCATCAATGACTACTTCAGCTTCAATCACAAAAATAAATGAGCACACAATAGATACAAACTCAGGGTAAACCGCACAAAATTTGATTGAAGGAAATACGACTTCAGCAACAGAGTGGTCAATGCCTGGAATATTCTACCTGACTCTATGGTTTCTTCCACTAACCCCAAACACTTTAACCTTAGACTGTCTACTGTTGACCTCATCCCATTCCTAAGAGGTCTGTAAGATGTGTGCATAAGTGCACCAACATGCCTTCTGTCCCTGTCTTAAAGTTCCCTTTTATTCATTATCTATTTCATGTGTTAATAATCATGTTTACACTTATATATATTAACAAATACATGCTTGACAAAATAAAATAAATAAATAAATAAAGGGATATAAATCCTTCCATTCTCCACCATTCAGTCTGAACTGAAGAAGATTCTTGGATGAGAAGTTAAATGTCTTCAAGAAAAAAAACAAAGAAAATTCAGTTCCACAGTTTTCCACATGTTTTTGTTTTGTTTTGTTTTTAAAAAGCTCCTTTGAGACAATCATGACCTGGATCTCCACAGAAAGTTCCTGATATAATATGTATCATGGCATAATGATGTGAATCTTTCAACTTCTGTATTTGCATGAGATGGAACAGTTATTCCAGTGCAAGAGGAGGGCAAACTATTTTCCAAACCACCAGAAGGCAAGACAATGAATGGAAACTAACTAAGGAGAGAAGCAACCTAGAACTAAGGAGAAATATCCTAATGGTGAGAATAATCAAACAGTGCAATGCATTGCCTTCAGAAGGTGTGTTACAAGGATAATACAGTAAAATATTATGCAGTGCTTTAATGGTCTATGCAACACACTATTGTTATTCTGAACAATAAAATAAACAATAAAGCAATAAAAAGTAAACAATCTAAAATTAATTTCTTTTAATAAAACCTAACTTCTAGAGATTAAAAATGTAGATTTAGCAATGTCCAGAAATATTTCACAAGAAGAGTTCTCCACTCCTTTACTCGTTGTAGAATACCTTATGCCACCAGACTTCAAATTCTAAACCTAAAAAACCTAGAACTACGCCGCCTTTGGTCCAAGCTAAGTATAGTATATAAAATCATACATTGCAATGTCCTACCTGTCAATGAATACTTCAGCTTCAACCATAACAACACAAGAGCACACAATAGATACAAACTCAAAGTTAACCGCACCAAACCTGATTGCAGGAAATATGACTTCAGCAACAGAGTGGTCAATGTCTGGAATACTCTACCTGACTCTGTGTTTTTTTCCCCAAACCCCAAAAACTTTAACATTAGAATGTCTACTATTGACTTCACCCCTTTCCTAAAAGGTCTGTAGGAGGCATGCATAAGCACACCAACGTGCCTACCATCCCTGTCCTACTGTTTCTTTTTATTTTTCTTATATGTATCCATTTCATGTATTCATAACTATGCTTATACCTATTATCTTGTAAGCAATTGACAAATCAAATAAATTAAAAATTAAAGTTAAAATTAAATGTGTTACTATAGGGACTTCAAGAATGAGTTGTTTATTCAATTCCTCTGGGATATGGAAATATTTTTAAAACAAAATATTTAAATGGAACCAATTTTAAAAAAATCAGTAACACCTTATAATGCCAAAGTAGGGATAAAATAGCATAAAGCTTTTTTGTTAAGGGTAGGAGTCAGAAAAATACAATGAATGAATGAATATGCAAATATATCAGTAAAAGTATTACTAGTTATGGCTGAGTCTATTCTTTAGTTCTTTCTCTGCTTCAACTGTTCTTTGTTGTTCAACTCAGGCTTCAGCAAATGATATATCATTTTGGGACAAAGATACAAAGGAATAAGCCCGCACTGGAGGCCAAAATGGAGAAGATCTCCACGGCAAGCTTCTCTTTCCCTTTGGTGCTCAGGTAAGCTGGAAGGAAAGCCAACCAAATGCTGCAAAACACCAGCATGCTAAAAGTGATGAACTTGGCTTCATTGAAAGTCTCTGGAAGGTTCCTGGCTAGGAAGGCCATCACAAAACTAATGAGAGAATGAAGACCCATGTATCCCAAGACAAGGAAAAACATCACAATGGGATCCTCATTGCATTCTACTATAATGTGTTTGATGAGTGAATGTTTGTCCAGATCTGGGAATGGGGGAAAGATTGCCATCCACACAACACAAAGAACTACTTGAATGAGGAAGCAGTAGAGCACAACTGAGTTGGCCAATCTTTTCCCCACCCATTTCCTCATGTTGGATCCTGGTCTAGTAGCCATGAAAGCCACCACCACAGTGATGGTTTTAGCCAAGACACAAGAAATAGCCATTGAGAAAGTCATACCAAAAGTGGGCTGTTGCAGAACACAGGTGACTCTTGTTGGTTGACCAAGAAAGAGTAAAGGGCAGAGGAAACAGAGCAGAAGGGAGACAAGCAGAGTGTAGGAGAGGCCCTGGTTGTTGGCTTTGACTATTGGAGTATCTCTGTGCTTAATGAATGTTCCAAGAACAAAGACTGTGGTCAGGGAGAAAACCAGAGCAGCTGAAGATAAGCTGATTCCTAAAGGTTCTTCATAAGAGAGAAAAGTTATGACTTTGGGAATACATTGAGTATGGTCTTCATTTGCATACTGATCTTCTGAGCATCTGAAACAGTCATTCATATCTGGAAGAAAAATACCATATTCCAGCATACTTCTGAC